TTACTATTCTAAAAATGAATGAAACCAATTTCGAGCAACGGTGTGCTATCAGGTTTTGCTTAAGACTTGGGCGCAGTGCAATGAGAACTTTTGCAAAACTATGAAGATTAGGAGAACAGTCTCCAGCGCTGCGTGGCTTCCCAAGGAGCTTATTTTGAAGGAGACGCTATTAAATTGTAATTTTATTCGAATAAGAAAATTAAAAAAAGTCAGTCTCATTATTTAATTGACACACCTTGTATTGACTGACAGAATTGTTGTTTTGCGAGATAATAATGGAAACAGTATATGTATGTATAATAATTTGCTAGCTGAAACAGAGACAAATAGGTTGTTTATTTCTCTGGATCAATCGATATTTGTTTTGTAAAGAGAAGACAAACACAGGAATTGCAACCGAATCTATCGCGTTAGCACAAATTTACCTCGCAACTATTGAAAGTCATACAATGAGAGAAATTAGTGCACTCAGCGACTACCGGTTCTGCTCCCATAATTGCGATCTCTCGTTCGCAGTAGTATAAGTAAAAGCGTGGTCAGACAACGCTTCCCATGGCTTTAGCAAAGTATAACACCTGACCTCCCCTTAAAATTCTGTTACTTTAATTAGAATTTAACTGGAATAATGTCGAGTATCGATCGAGTTGAGGAGTTCCTTTAGACGAAATTGATTCGACCCCTTTAACTGTCACGTGTGTCTATTGTCGCTTAATCATTCAAAGATTCTGTCGAGCATTCGTCCTAAATTATAGTGCGATACAATCGAGGCAATTTACTATGCAGAATTCTCTGACAGTGATACAGATAGCAATCAGGATCTAATGAAATATGAAATACCAACTAAATGAACATAAACTTTTATATCACATTTAAGGTGATTCAATATTGATTTTTATTATCAAAATTTATTTCACATTACAAGACGTGTTCCGAGCTACGGTTTAAAAGATGAACAAATGGATTTTGAGTTGATGAATGATTCACTTGGTTGGTAAACAGATTCCTCGATACTGACCCTGTTTTAATACCTTATCAGATGATTTTCGATTGCTAACGCTTGTCCCCTCTGTGAAACTTTCCCACGAAAGTTTCAGTGTACCTTCGGCCGGGCATTCATAACGTAGTTAGCTCTTTTGCTTTCGAGTTTTCCTCGATTGAGCCAGGGTGAATAATAATAAGGCCGAGATCTCGTTTACATCGAGCGAGGAGGTCGCGTAAGTTCTCTCCGCCTATTGTCGTGTAACCACTGAAATAAGAGTTGAAAGTGGTGTAACATGAACAACTGCATCGTTTACGTAATTTATCTGGTGATCTATCGCCTCCAGAAATTCATGAAGGGAAAAGAGTCAAGAAAGTTGACTCCCTCGACCTTTACATAAATGGGAAAAGTTTCAATTAACGTATCGATTCTTAAACAAGTTTACTTCTTGATCGGAGTTACTAGATTCTTAATACCGTTGCGCAATAATTACGTTGTCTTTGACTCTTAGCGAGACTGATTATGCAAAGTTTAGGAACGGTTATGTGTTTTCGTTCTACGATAAAAAGTGACGATTACTTCGTCGTTAATTAAAAAGTTTTTAAGTGGCAGTGTGTACTCTCTGTGTGAAGGCAGTGCGTCAAAAAAACTAATAAAAGAGTCGATTTATCTTGAGAAATTCATGGGAACGGAGTCGATCAATTATTCCGATCCAATAAACTCGTGACTGACAGGCGCGGATCGCAAATCTTTATAGCCCACCTGTAAATGTAACCACTTCGGAGCAAGTACGCGTCTTAAAAATTCGTCGATTCTCGGAATCCCCTATTTGGAGGCTCTTCCGCGTACCTTCTTAATTACCGCGAGCGTCGAGCGAGTAATTCGATCAGACGATCGTCTCCTTTGCACCAAGTGCACCTGTTAGACTCGCTTTAACGCGTTCAATTATACTGCTAAAATTACTCTCGCGTAGAATCGAATTAAGTAACGGGTAGCTTCATTTTATATTGTCCCTTAAACGAGGAGTAAGAAATTCTTCCAAGAGAAGAATAAATAACAAGCCCCACTTAGACGAATTTTACAAGATGTATAGGACTCTCTTCACTGTGTTACTGTCCACCGACATTTTATTTCACATCTCTTGTAAATTATTTCAACCGAATCATTCAAACACAGACACCAGCGTCTATCCATTAATAGAAAAATGGGCCAGAAGCAGTCCCACAAAAATGCTGACCATCGTCCTCGACGATTACGAACAACCACAAATGTTAGACTTTCCTAAAAACGTATTGAACAATCTGAACGTCTCTAAAAAGCTAGTCAGCTTGAAATATTTGATATCTCTACGAAACAATGACACCAGTCGAGGATATGAAACGGTGGAAACTGGAAATTGCGTGCTGCTTCTCTTCACGAATATGGAACACCTTCGAGACCTGTTCAACTCTCCGCATTTGATCTCGTTCTGGCATCCGGAGAACTTTTACATCCTCGAGGAGCAGGGGAAATTGGACTCGTTCGATCGTGAGCGATTTTGTAAATGGGCTTTCGACAGGCTCTGGAGGTTCAGAAGAGTTTATAAACTTCTGCTTTTCACCGGGGACAAGGCTATTCGATACGACCCGTTCGATTACACCACTCGATACGAGGAACATTATGTTAACACCAGTTGTGATTGGGATTGTATCGAATCTAACGACAGCTTCTTAATGATCAGTAACCGAGACAAAGTAGATGTATCAGATTTATTTGACGAAGGGAGGAGAGACTTCAAATCGTACCCGTTGAAAATTTCTATATTTAAAACTACGACGATGCCTGTTAACAATGGAAAGTTCGGTGGACTGGATTTCAATTATCTCGAAGAGGTTTGTAAGAGAATGAACGTGACTCCACGTTTGATCAAATCTAACGACAGATACGGTTGGGAAGAGAACGGAGCTTTCTTTGGGTCGCTTGGACATTTGGTTTACGAATACGCGGACGTGTCGTTCAATCATTTCTTCATTAAGGATTATTTGACCAGGCAGATCGAATTCTCGACGCCCATCAATACCGACAGACTGTGTGTCTTCGTTCCGAAGGCTGCGCCAGTGCCTGACCATTTAGTCATTGTGAAGGTACTTCCCGTTTCAGAATGAATCATTAAATCGTGAATAGCGTCAATGAAATTAAATGGAACGTGAAAAGTCCGAGAATATACGGAAGATCGAATCGTATTACTACTTTCAAAATATAAAAGATTCGCAACTATTGGATTGACAACTAAATAATTGCGGAGTTTGTCGATAGACTTCTTATTTAAAATCCGTAATCACTTATTGTTAGTTGCCAACTCAATAGATTTTCGAAGTCGATTTAGTTTCGATAAAATTCGAATAGTAATTAATTAACGAACAGACGCATTAAAGCTCTTCACAGGGGAGGCTTGGTTGCTGCTGTGCGCAGTGCAATTCGTCATTTCTATGATCTATACGATGCTAAGAGGGAAACGAAACGTAGTAGAGGACCGCGAGTCTTCTATCGATTTTGCGGGAAATAGAAGAGGCGAGGGCGTCGCATTTGCGATGGAACTTGGCCGAACGCATGGGTGAGTAGGTGTGGAAAGCGTGAATCTGTGAAGAGCTGAGGAAAAAGGAGAACCGCGGGTTGGATTATTGGGAAGCTCCGGATTTCAAGCGGCATGTTTTTTACCCTCATATCGCTCGACTGTGTTCGATCTTCGATAAACAAATTTGTTCTAAACGGATTTAAGAACGAATCTATAATAAAGACAAATATTTCATCGGCGATGTGAAATTTTCCAATTCCGTGGATTTTATGCTAACTGGATTTAAGAGCTGCACGATGGAAAATTAAATTAAACGAATTCCTCAAAATAAGCGAATTAATTAATCCCGAAAGTTAATTTCGTTCGTCAAACATAGCACGTCTCTCTCTCTCTCTCTCTGAATTGGTTGACTGTTCTGATAATTGCCAATTAAAAAAAGATCAAAACGTGAACAAATCGAGGAAAAACGATTTCAATTTCCTAACAGCCCCGACACGCGATGTGTACGGATTCCGAGAGAGAAGTATTTCAAGCGAGCTTTTCGCTCCCTCGGGAAATATTTGATTAGAGTGGTTCTGCAGTCGATGCAACCGTTCAAATCGGAGTATCCCTGGTTCCCCGAAAGATTGCTACTGATGTGCAGCTTGTTTCTCAGTTTGATACTAAACGGAATAGTCACGTCCCAGCTAGCTTCGACGTTCAGCAAACGATTGCACTATAAAGACATCGACACTCTAGAAGAACTCGAGGAAAGTGGTAATTCCTGCAACCTTTTACCAATTTCGATGATCTACAATGGAAACTAAGATGAATTCGTTTTAGGCCTGCCCATCTTGACTAATACAAAAGACGTTCTACCAGACGCGTTGGCCGATTCTTCGTCCCCCTTAGTCAGACGACTTCACAACAAGCTGAGATATGGGAACGACTCGGAGATCGATCAAAGAGTGTTCGAAGCGAGGGATGCTGCGTTTCTGCATCGATTAGCACCCATCACTCTCAAATATACGGAATATCAAATGGAAAGGCTGCACGTCGTTAACGAGTGCCCTCGAGAGTACGTGCTGGCCATCATTATGACCAAAGGTTCATTAATTCCACAAGATTTTTTCTACACTTATTATCGCTCGTCTGCACAGCATCGCGTTTTATATTACAAGAAAGTTTTTATATTAATATTGGATGATAGAATCTGAGAAATGAAAACGAGAGAAGTTTATTGCTTTATATATTTTACTGCACGTAAATGACGTTTATTAAACGCATCGCATTTCCAATAAGACTTCCATTTCGAATAAACCTGACTGCTGATTGTGATACGTCGACTCCGTTTCTAGGGTCTCCGTTTCGCGATCGCATAAACAGCGTACTTGGGAGACTGAACAACGGTGGTTTCTATTGGAAATGGTACGAGAGTCTGTATCAAACCAAGAAACGGTTCGCTCAAGAGCTTCACAATTCTACGATGCATCGAAAAATCACGATGCGTCATTTGTCCATTCCGTTCGCGATGCTCTATGCTGGTCTGGCCGTTAGCGCGCTCGTTCTCATCTGTGAACGCCGGCAAGGCAACAAAAACTACGTGCAAATGGTTTTATTTTAAAACTGCCGCAAGCTAAACATACGCCTGATTGGACCAATTCCATTCTCTAATGAAATCTTTCGGTTGTCTCGTATCGATAAAAATTTGTATAAAAAAATATTGATTGAAATAAACGAAACAGAGTTTTATTAAAATTATACGTAGGACTTGACGCATGCTTTAGAAATATTATAGAGTTTCGTCGTAATTATGTGTAGATCTAGATATAATTTATTCATGAACAGTTTGGTACAATGAAATTTGCATATTTTCTGGAGAAGCCGTGAACGACGGATGCAGGCGAGCGCAGGACATCAACGAGAAGTGAGAAAGACTAACTTTTATGCAATTACGCGGAGAGTGTTTGACAGTATGCAAGCTCTTTGAAAGTCCGAGGCACGTGTTTGACTTAATGACGCTCGTGTTGGGATCAACTTTGCACAAGTTCTTCCGGTAGTAATCAGCGGATCTCGAAAAACCTTACCTGCTACCTAACGCGCTCTCATACTATATGAACAATAAAATATATCATCTCTAGTAAACATTTTTTGAGCGGATAACGAATAACGCAGCGACAGGAAAACGGAATAAAATATGTGAAACGAATTCTTCAACGAATTTCATATAAAAAACTGCTACATATTTGTCAGTGACACAGTTTGTCTTCGTCTTTCATACAAGAAATGACAAGAGCGAATAGACAGGAATATTCTGAGCGCATAAGAACGCAACGCGTGAGAGCTGGTCTGAATATCAAAAAGATCGCTCCAATAATATTCACAGTATCGCATAAATTCACATGAAAATCTATCGAATGCGTCGTAGCTTCCCTATTATATATTTTTACTCTTTGATGTTCCCTCCGAATTTAATGAAAAGCGATGTTAACTTTTAATTACGTTAACGTTGGAATATGAAATTATTCTACTCACAGTTTAATAACGTCTCGTTAAAAATGGTGAGAATTTCGCTTGGAATTTAATGAAAAATGGATATCGTGTATGACTGTGAACGTTTGATATCAATGGTATTAATACGAAAAATTGTTATTTCAACAATTGAATTCGCGGTAAAGACAGTCGGAATTTCCACATGAATGCACAAACCTTATTCGCGTAACGCTCAGGACGATACCCGCTGATGAATAGTAATTGCGATACGCAGTCTGGGCGTCCCTTACGCGGAACGTAGTCGCACGCTAATTTTGTGATACTCGAAGGATTACATCTAAAATTTACGGGAAAATCAGAGCGCGCATCCGTTTGATGCCACTCGTAGATGAGTGCTGGAATCTGTCGAATAGCATACACGTGCATCTCGCATCATAGGTTTTAGCCTACTTCAACAAATCTGACAAAATCGTATTAAATCTTGTAGCGAATCATGAAGAGCTCCAAAACGATTATGCTGTGGATTGATGAATATAAGAAGCGAAAGTACAGAGAATGAGAAAATGTTTCTTGAAAATTTATTACTGTCTGTCTAACTTGCTTCGACAAATTCTCTGTCTCTTGTCTCTAGGGACAACGGCGTACAGATTGACGGAGGAGCACTTTCGTAGCAGCGGCAAACTACGTCTTAATCACATTTAGTACAACATCTGCCTCGAAGAAATGAAGTACGTGCTTTGAATATCGAAAACGTTTAACGTTTAAGAAGAGTTAAGAACGCAGGTCGCACGGCTGGGAAACTGTAATCTACTGTAAACGATTATTCCATCGAATCTCACGTGTAAAAATATTGTCAACAAGTTTTATCATACTTTCCGATGTCAAAATTTTAATTTCAAAGTTCAAGTTACGATTACGATTGTGAGAGAGTGATTTATCCGCTGTGCGCTCATCGTAAGACGCGTTTCCATTGCTATCAGAATACGACGATTAACACGTTGAGCCCCGCGTCGATCCCTGGGGACCGACAGTATCAAAGTTAAGAAATAAATGTGGTCGATGCGGGCTGAACGGAAAGGACAGCGGGGCTCAACGTGTTAAGGGATGAAACGCCATATCGACTTGAATGGATATTTATCTTTGCATTTAATACAATCGGAACGCCGGATTAATTATCGGGCAGCCTCGGCGAAAAATTTTCATAATTAATCTTCCTGTTATTCGCCTCGTTTCACTAAATGAGCGTGAGCAAATAATCACGTAACGATCGGGATTTTAATTATAGAATACAATGATATTCTGTTCATACACGAACGCGTTGGGAGACAGCAAACACCGTTTGCCGTTTAAAATAATACAGGGATTTGTTTCTCGTTGAGCTTCATACAGTAAATGAATTCGCATTTCCTTTGGAATTAAAGTCGGACCGTTTTTAAACCCAGCAATATTTTACGATTAAAAATGTAGGAAATATAAAGATGGTGCGAGTCAGAGTCTTTGAGCCGAAAGCTTTACTACGTCTATAAACCCCCTTGCGAACGGTACGATTCTGCGAAGTAAGTTCGATACAAGTTCCGTGCGATAAAATAAACTGCGAAACGTGCTCCCATTCCCTATTTCCTTCTAGCCATGTAAACCTCGGCGACGAACATACCGATGGATCCCAACAGGCCGACGACGAGCGATAAAAACGTGATAGAATAGTGGTCCATGGCTAGTTTAATCCATGTCTTCTCCTTGTCCAATTTCCTCCTGGCTTTGACAAGCCTGATCGGATGCGTCATGTTCTCGAACCAGAAGCAAACCAGTCCCGACTCACTCAGCCTTAGTAATAAAAAGTCCACCCTTTCGGCGTACGGGGAGCGAAACCTCAGCACGTAAGAAATTCTGTAGTTCATCGGAGTTTCATTGACCACGTGGATCAGCGGATTCTCGTCCTCGTCGTAATAATCAAAGTCCTCCAGTTCCATCGTCTGATATCTGGCATGAGAATCGTTCATTTTTTTTTTTTTTTTTTAATGAGTTGAGAAAATGACGACCGTGTTACCGTACCTGGTGAGAGAAATCTTATCGTCGTACGCCACGAAATATTTAATATCCTCTTTTCGCCCTTGGCTTATCACCTGTATACTCTGATACAGCTTCGAATCCACTTCGGAATCATCCTGGAAAATGTCTTTCAGATTCGCGTATTTAGTGACGACGGTCTTCCCGGAGTTCAGCACATCCTCCAGAGTGTTCAACTGAGGCTGGTGAAAGGGTTTGCTCAAGCTCGACACTAAGCAGCTTTGGTACAGCCCGTTTACTATGAGACTGAAGAAGAGAGTGCCGAAGAGTAAAGCCCTTTGTGACAAGGTTTCACCTCTTTCAAAGGGGTAGCAGAGTTTCTCGAAGAAAATCACGAAACTTGTGACGCAACGAGGAATCTCTCCTCGATATATCGGTTCATCTGTTGATTTCGAAGAACCGCCTTGGAGAGATTCGTCGATATACTTCACTAAATACCAGAGGAGCGTGACGACTACGTCGTATGCCATCAGGAGCATCCACAAGCTTTTCTTAAACGGTAGAAAAGGCATGTAAGCCTTGGACAGCAATCCGGAGTCAGGAGCCAGGAAACAAAGTTTGTCTTCGTACATAGCGCAAGTGAATTGGAACATCTTCGAGTCGCTGTACAATTTAATGAAGAACCCAGTAATCACCATATCGACTGTACCATTTTCTATACTCCTCAATGAATAATTAAACGGATCTTCTCGGAATTTGATTTTGTTCATCGCCTTTACTCGGAACTTCGCACCCATCGTTTTCTCCAAAGTGAAGAGCACGCTGGCGTCTGGCTTCGTCAGTATCAATTGATTCTCATCGGTGTACGAGACGTTCATCAACAAGGATTCGAACACCATTACGTTCAAAGGGTAATTATTCAGGTTTCGAAAATCTTCGAACAATTTCGTGTGCCTGTCTAAATGAAGAACCTCGGATTCTTCGTTTTCTAAAGAATTTTGACCGGATTCCTCGGTGGAATTCTCCTTTAAGCACAACTTGCGTACGCTACCAAAACCGTATTTAAATACCTCGAAAGGCATGTAATTCAACAGGCAACGAAAATGTTCATCAGAGAGGAATACCAGTGCTCTGTAAACGTTATACTTTCTCCATAATTTCTCCAGAGCGTCTCTCCACGGTAATTTAACTCCTTCGTTAGTAAAAATGATCAGATATCGATTACTGGACCTCCACAGATTTCGTTGCCGATAAATAAAAATGTTCAGACTGGCCCAGTCGCGAATGATCAAGATCCAAGTGAATCGTACGTTATTTATCGAAGCTAGGGTTACAGAGAGATCTCTCGCCCTTACTATATAACTTTCTATCGAGTTTTCTGTAGTGTAGCGCAGAAAGAAATCGAGGAAGTCTGATCGGAATTCCGGTCGAACTATGGAAAGTGTCAATGGGTGAAACTCACTGGATCTCTGAACGAAATTCAACAATTCTTTGAGATTGTCGACCTCCCGAGTTGACAACGACTTCGTCAACAATTTGTCATAGAGTTTCGAGTATTTCGAGGAAGCAGAAAACTTTGGGAAAAGTAAAATACAGAGAAATGTGCAATTCCTCACGTATGAGAACATCTCTATCAGATTTTATCGCCGATTATTCGATACACTGCACTGTGTAACACTTCTTATATAATATAATGGGAAGAATTATGAGTAAGAAGTGGACATTGATGGTAGTGGAGGCAGACGTTCGAAGCTAAACTGGCATACATTGTCCAATGGGAACTCTGCGATAAAAACGTAACCAGTTATGGTATTGATCACTGTTTTCCCTCGCTATATTTGCAGAAAGCTTTCACTGAATTATGCGGATGGTAGATTTGCGGACGAACCATCTACGATTGAAAAACGTCGCTGGATTTTTCCGTTCAGAGGGTCTCCCGGCTGACCAAGGGCGGATTTGTACTACTTAAACTTCAGCCGGGAACTAGTAGAGTTTTATGCTTCGGCCGTGTTTACCCCGAGCAAACCGAGCGAATGTTTGCATCGCAATCGTGGATCCTCCGCGTCAACTGACAGGTCATTAAGCCTTCACATTGCTTCAGATGTTTCCAGGCGATTGCGTGCGAACGATTCCGTCCCACGTACATATTTTTCTCCTCTGCCCTCCTGGTCTAATTCTGAGCTATTGACTTTCAATTTCGCGTGACAATTTTCTTTCGGCCGTGAACGAAAATCATGTAAGTACCAAGCATAAACAAGTGTTCTCTGTCAAAAGGCTCAGAGGATTCGTAGCTCCTATCAGTTTGTTAATTAACGCTTATTCGCGAAGCTAGGAATTTAATCAATGATGAATCATTGCCGGTTCATTAAATTTGATGCAACTATGGAAATCGGTAAATATCCCGTCGCTAATTAAATTTCCCGTCGGTCATTCTTCATACGTGATTAGGCTTGTCGAAACAATGATTATAATCGCGTTAATCAAGAAATTACCGACGCCCCACGTGTTCTGTAGTTAAAGCGAAAGAGATAGGATCTGGGGACGTGTCGCCGTTAAGTGATTTCATTAAACTTTCACCAGCAACCCCGATAAACCGACGAGATAGGGATGTGACCTCCGACACTTGTCTCGTTTTCAAAATCTGGTCTCTCTCTCTCTCTCTCTCTCTCGACCCCATTCCAAGATACAATCTTCAATAAATTTATTCTCGCATTTTGACTAACTAACGTAATTACTCAAAGCTCTGAATAAAACTCGTTTCCCATAAACGTGAAGGACAGGAGTTTATACAATTATCCTTGAATTCGAGACGCATAGTTTCACGCGCAAGCTCATCGGAACTGAATTTTCTATCTCGCGAATAATATAAATTATTTTACACCGCTGCTTCTGCTCTTTTCACGATTAACACATGATTTAATTAAAACGTCGACAAACGTACAGCAATGGTAATATTCCATTTATTGCGTTTAAACAGGATGACATTTACATTTGTGAAAACGAAGCTCGCAGATTATGATTTTTCCTAGTCGATTCTGGGCCGCGGAATCATCGAAAAATATTGCAAGCTCGCGGGTTAATATTTCACTTGGTCTCTCCAGCTCTGTGCGCGAGAATTAGTCGGCGTGGCCCGAAGGAAGCGGTGGTTTATTTTAGGGACCTCTGAAAATACGCGCACACGTCCCGTAGAGAAATAGTTGCTCGTTGCTGCTTCGCGATAAGACCATGGCTCTTAAACGCTGTCTACTTCCAATAATAGTGATTACAGTTTCAATTGGTACGTGTCTCATTATTTCGCATCTTCAGTTTTTCTCTCGAGAAATTAGCAAGTAGATTAGATTCATACGCGTTCCGAGAATTTCAATCGTCATTCTCTTATTTTTATTAAGGTGGAACGGTATTCCAGATTCTTTCACAGTGTTTTGTTCACGTATGCGAATTCCTATTCGCAGTAATCGTTTCAATTTCAGACAATTGCATTTTCTTCTCCCTCTTCGTAGGTATTTCGCCGATTTTCACGTGGAGCCCCGATGTTCGTCGGTACGTAATCGAATTCCCATTTTTCCTTTTCAAGCATCAAGTAAATTTCCTTCGTAACGACTTAACGCCAGAACGTTTGTTTTCCTCGCTTTACGAAATCTGAACTTTATACACCTTCTAAAATTACTCTGCGCGTAGTATATAAAATACGAACAGCTTATAAATGAAGTCTCATCAAATTTTGCAAAGTGATACCATGAAAGTTTAATTATTTAATTCCCCGGGAAGTTACGAGAGCTACGACCTAGAGAAAGGGCCAGTTTTCTACGAAGCTTACTATCCGGACGACGAGCCCCGCACCCACTACCAAGAAAAACGTTATTTCGACCGCGAGCCAGTCTTCGAGAAGACCTATCAACTATCCTCCGAGCACGCAGAGAAGAATTATCAAGACAGACCCGATGCTGCTCTTCAAAACGTGGATCGTTTCTCTCCCCAGCCACTGGACATAAAGGAAATTTCTAAGCTGGCCAGGAGAGCCATATCCAGAGATCTGGAGAACTGGAACACCCTTGAGGAGTACTTGGATCGAGCTAAATACGAGGATCCGTTATATCCAACTCGAGTCGACGCGAATTCGAGGGATCCGTATGAGGAGAAACGGGAGGAGCCTTTGCCTCGTCGACTTCGATCAAGCAGAGACCAAAGATTTATTGAATCCGATATCGGTAGAAATCGATTTGAAGCAGTTCCATACGAGAACCATGAACAACAGATGATACAAGCTGTTAGGACGAGTCCAGTGAATACTTTGAACAAACCTGTCCCACCCAATTCTCTCAATTCTTATCCAACAGAGAACATCTTCGCGCCGAGGCCTCAAGTAATTAATTACATCTTCTCAAAGAGACCGACGGAGAATAAAGAAGAGCTGGTCGCGTCTGAAACGAAGGAGACGAAGGAGTCCATGCCTAGGAATTACGGGGACAATTTGATTCGCGATGAAATGAAGGAAAAGGAAGAAAATAAGAATGCCAAGATCGCTTCTATCGAAGTTAGCGAGGTACCGAGACACAAGACTCGTCACCATCATGGAGATTGGCCGAAACGTGAATATCCTCATCGTCATCAATCTTAAACAGATTGTTAATAATCTATTTTAAGTCTTCGCCTATTACTTCGTTTCTATTACCTATTCTTTAGTTTTCTTGTACTAACTGTATTTTAAAACAATAAATTGCGAGTATAGGGACGCAGTCTTTTCTATCTTTTCGAAGTATTTATTCAATACAGTGAATTACATCAATAATATAACTTTCTATAACAACGTGCACGTACATCGCTACCTTAGATACGTGTACGTTTAAACTTCATCCTTATTTTTACTCTCTGTCGTTTAATCGTACACGTTTAACAATTGATAACACCACGTATAAGAAAATATGTATTTGTTCTTCTTTTCACGTTCGTGGAAGCGACATGTATTTACAAATTAACTTCGAAGATGAAAATGATCAAATGATGGACAGTGAATGCGAAACGACGCGAAGAATTCGTTGATATTCGATCAAGACCACGGGTTCTTGACACATCATCTTTTTATAGATCTTAAAAAAACATGATCGATGATTTGAATATAACTTAACGATGTTCGCAGGAATGAATCTTGTACGCTACGAGAATAATTAGATGATGTCCGAAGGCAAGTACAACGACAAAACCACGAGTACGTTACAAATAATCTACGCTATTGGAACACAACTTCGTCTGGTGAATAGTCTCAGTTAGCTACATCTAAAACATTATTTTTTTTCATTTTTCTCCATTTGCTTTTTTCAATCATTCTTCGGTAAAAGTTCCGCGATCCACGCAAGTCGACCGCGTTTACATACGTTCAGAAATACGTGATTAAGATCTAAACTTATCCGACGTCTTTCTACGCATATTTATTTATTTACTAAATTAACATCTTAATGAAAGATATCGCTTATACAGTGTGGAAATTAAATAAAGGAAAACGGTCAGATTAGCATCTCGGAATGGCGAGCTAAATTATAGAGATTTAAGTTTCAAGAGATTCAAATGTGGCAGTAAATTTCAATCATTAAAAATGAGATTTCAAAAGCAATAACACTTCGCACACCGCCGTCATGCGACATATAATTACACAATTTAACAGTTTCTAATTCTTGTACTTTCTCAATCTACAATTATATACATTTTCAGTTCGTTTCATAGATCTCACGATCGAGAATTATTAATTTTTAAACTACTTATGTTTTCAACGAATGTAAAAATAAATCATCTTCCTTACATATTTAACAGCGTTTTATACATTCGGTTGACGCAATTTTATAATAAATAAATTAAAAAGGAGACAACTTATTATGGTACAATGTAATCTGGCCAGTTACGTGTCCTCCTGGTAATTCAATCTGTTTGTGATGTCTCAAATTACGTGACTGATACATAAAATTAAATAAAGTCTAATATCAAAAAAGTATGTATAAACATATTTCGCAGGAAGCATTCATTTTATATACTATATAATTAAATACAATTAGTGCTGACACGTGCACCGATTACTGTATACCTATTTTACGTTGTTCCAAGTTTGACATAACAAATTCCCTCAGTTTTTCATACGCCTTGGAGATATCGTCGTTCACAACCGTTATATCAAAATTACCAGGCTTCTCTCCTGAAATTATTCATCAATTACATAATAACTGTAAAGTCTTTTTGTTTTACATTCGATTAACACGATACTTACCGTACTCCATCTCTACCCTAGCCACGGACAATCTACGTTCTAAAGATTCTTCCGTTTCCGTTTGCCTAGACCTCAACCTTTTCTCTAATTCTTCCATGGACGGTGGTTTAACGAACACGTACATAGGATCCAAGGAAGTCTGCTTTATCTGTTTCACACCCTCCACGTCGATGTCCAGTACGCAAACCTTCCCTGCACGTTTCACATCTTCTACAGCACGTTTACTAAAAACCATTTACAAATGATTTCAACACGAATCATAAAGGAGAAAATGAATTCACGAATGATCAGTGAGACACAACGTTTACCTAGTGCCATACATGTTCCCACTGAACACTGCATGTTCCAAGAATTTGCCTTGCTCTATCTGCTTCTGCATTTCATCCTTGGTCGTGAAATAATAATGTTTTCCGTCCTCTTCCCCCGGTCTGGGTGATCTTGTGGTATGGGAAACTGAAAAACCAAAGGTATCTGGAAATTCCTCGAAAAGCCTTTTAATCAGTGTGCTTTTCCCACTGCCGGAGGGGCCGCATAAAACCAGCGGGCGTGGATTTTTATGAAGCATGTTACGAGCACCTAAAAATAAACGTGATTTCGTCAGTAAACAGGAACTTAAGTGTCGGAATTCGCCAAACGCAGCACAGCAGATTCGATTCGCTTCATACCTATTGTCAAGTTTCTAACATGCGAAAGTAACGTCATACTTTCGCGTATGTTTAATTCACCGACTAATTAAACAAGAGAAAACGCAAATGTCTGTCGATGCACTTACGTTGAAATCATAATGCTAAATCGACAATTCCAGCTAAGCGTAAAGGGTGAGGAACTGAAAAACGACAAACCCATACGCCGGAGGTATTATTAGATAGAATTAATTAGGGCCAGAGCGATCGTGTAATGTGAAATTCGTATCAAAACATTTTTCTACAGGACAGATAAGATACCGTATTATCGCGAGCCATAGAATCTAATTAAAGTGCGATGCTTATCTGGGGAATATTGATTTCTGGAAGCAAAACTTGTCGTAAACTGTGCACCACAATGCGGTGTAAATAAAGTCTATGGGAGGCCAATTCCGCTGGACGGACAGCGAGACATTAAAGAGATTCTATCCGAAAGTATTTTCTCAACATTTTCGCAACATTCTCAAGTTTCGGTACAGAGTAGATACGACGAAAAATATTTGTTCGAAAACTTAGATATATCGAGCAATTTTCGCCCGCGATTCTCATTAATTTGGTGAACGAACAGAATAATCGTCAAATGTATTGAATGCTATCTCACCTGGATAATCGAGTAAAAAATTAATAGAATCACTAGAACATGCGGAAAATATTGTTAGAAAAGCACAGCACGAAGATTCGTGTTCAGCTATCGGCTATCAGCTACACGTTTTTGCCGTTTTTACGTTACTACAAGCGCATGCGTCCGTTCCATGTCGCATTGTGAACATTTGTTTGCAGTATGTGACAAACATTAATTGGGAGTCTGTATTTTTAGATACATAACTTGTATATAAAGACGTCTGCAATATTATTTTTATCATGCATCGTCTATTCGATGACAGTATAATTAACTTATGGGTTAGATCGTTAGATGAGTTGCTCGTAATCTATTTAGTAAAGATAATTCATTTCAGTTATCTGTTAATGTAATAAATAGAAATGACAATACGCATTTCCTTATCCTTCTTTGTATTTATCTTATTTAACACTAATTTCGTACTAAGAAGAAAAAGAATAGAATCGAGTGAATGAGGACAAGGAATCCGATACCGCCTTTACTTCCATTCCCTTCCATTGAAACTGTTATTTGGCAGTAGTGTTTACAAACAGACTGGAATCTATTGACATTATTTAATGTTTAATTTTCAGATACAATACTAAAGAAAACACGTTAGATGCATAATAAAAAGATACAGGAAAGAATCTAAAAATATACAATGTGTAGTCTTAACCATCTTTAATATGATTTTCAAGTACAGTTAATGAGAGCCATTACTGAACTTCCAATCACAGGGAGAACAAGAATTTATATTCTGACATAAGAATAAAAACCACAGAATACGTTACTTACAATGACTGTGGATAACGCGAACAGCAATGAACAAGTTATTCTGGTAACAGGTGGTTACGATCACACTATCAAAATATGGCAACCACACACAGGAGTTTGTCAACGAGTGTGCGAGCATACAGACTCGGTAATATTTTGAAATACTTTCATTTAAATACTTCTGTTCCTATTCTTTAACAATGAAACTTGATTTTTAGCAAGTAAATGCCCTGGACATTACTCCAGGTAAATATCTAATAGCTGCTGCTGGATACCAACATATACGAATGTACGACTTAGTTTCAAACAATCCAAATCCAATAATTAATTACGAAGGAGTATCGAAAAATATCGCTGGCTTGGGCTTTCAGGTATTTCATTATAACAGCTCGATTATTCTTATTGCGATATATCCATCTAATTTTGTTTAGGAGGAAGGTAAATGGATGTACACTGGTGGTGAGGACTGTTCAGCCAGAATTTGGGATCTCAGGTAAATACAATCTAATCTATCAATCGTGCCCTTATATAGACAAATATAGACGAACATTATAACTGTATTACAGATCGAGTAGCTTCCAATGCCAGAGGATATTCCAAGTATCAGCACCCGTAAATTGTGTATGCCTACACCCTAATCAAGCAGAACTCATAGTTGGAGATCAGAGCGGTGTTATACATCTGTGGGACCTGCGTTCAGATCACAATGAACAACTGGTAAATAGTTTAGGAAATGAAACTCCCATATTTTATTCATTTAATATGATGACCGATGTTTTTGTAAAGATACCAGAGGCTGAAGCATCTGTGCAAGATGTTGCGATCGACCAGGACGGTACTTACATGGCGGCTGTGAATAATAAAGGTCATTGTTACATTTGGACGCTTACCGGCGGTGTGGGAGACGAGCCTACGCGGCTTAATCCTCGGCACAAACTTATAGCGCACAAACGTTATGCGCTTCGATGCAAGTTTAGTCCCGATTCTACGTGAGTACTAAGCGTCGAACATATAAAGGAATTAAATTATGTAATTACATGTTCGATTGCGTTTAGGCTCTTGGTAATCACGTCCGCGGATCAGACTGCTCGTGTTTGGAAAACGACCGACTTCTCAGAGGTACAAGTACTCGAACACGAGTCGAAACGATGGGTTTGGGACGCGGCATTTAGCGCAGATTCGCAGTACATATTTACTGGTAATGGCACGAGTTTTCACATGTTCTCTATCATCATTTTTAATAGGTCTAGCTAAGTTTTATTTTGTTTAAGCTTCATCCGACGGTGTCGCACGATTGTGGAACGTGTCCAGTGGAACAGTGGAGCGAGAATATCAGGGTCATCCCGCTCCCTGAGTCGTACGTTATCACGATCGCGAAATCGTGTATGTTACATAGAGAACTTCATTATAATTTATAAGGTGTAGCGTATTATTTATTATAAGAATATATTATAATTATTGTACGTCCTTTCCTTTCTGTTTTCATATTATTTTTATTTTACTCATATAGCGCATACAATCTTACAATGTGTCGTCTTGCACTGTATCAACTTCAAGTTCCAGTCTTAAAATAGATTTGCACATTTTTTCAAGCATATTCACGAGTAGACCCTCGTAAATTTATAAATATCTACACAATATTAATTTCATTTACGAATACATTGATGAACATAACATTACCCGTAGAACATGATAAGTTAAAATAAAAAGAAAACAATCGTCAAGATTCTGCCAATCTTGGTAATAAACAATATATTCTCACTTTTTAATCATTGAGATCTGTGCTTCGTGGAGGCGTCACTTTAAGTACCTTAGATCAGAGGCAACTGCTCTACTTCGCCCATCTCTGTGAAAGTCTCTTCGTCCATCGTGTAACTTAACATAAACTTTAACGATACCGTTTCCTGCGGAAAATATTATAATAAACGTTTGGAACCTAGTTGATTAACACGAACATTAGCTACCTTAGTAGGATTCGCAATTAACATAATTTGAGTAATTGCTGACGGCGGGAGGAATGGATTGTGACCGGGCAACGACGTTCCAGACGGTGGCTGAAGTCTACACTTACACTTCTGAAAGCATTCAGGCATATTTTCGAATGATGTGGACGAATTAATTGATTAATAAAGAATCCACATACTTTCGGCACCACTGCTTGGAACAAGTAATTACTAAGTGGTTTCGAGTTTTTGCTCATCGTTGTAATTACGACGACGAACACATCTTCTCTCGGATTATCTCGAGCGAAATGAAGTACAACAGATATACCGTTCTTCTCTTCGATTACCGTCATAGGTGGATTGATACCTTTAGAAAAAAGAATAGTTTAACATAAAAAGGATTAGAAGAAACGATCAAGTTACCTGGCAGTAGTTACCTGGTTTAATGTCTTGAAGGCTGATGTTAATATCCGTTAAAGGTTTAATTTCAGGTTCTGGAGTAACCGAGTTCTCTGTCGACAGCGCAGTGTTCAATCGCGAGTTCGCATCTCTCTTATTATTTGTATTACATTGGATAACGGTTTGATCGTTCGCACTATCTTGAGATGGAAGACTACCGATTGATTCGGAATTATTACTTGTATTGACAGTTCTCGTATTTACTGGTTCTGACAATTCGGAAAATTGTAGAGAACTGCCACTGTGATTGCCTGGTTTCACACGGGAATTCGGCACTGTGCCCGATAAGCTTTGTTTAAGCAAAGATTCGCTCAACTCGTTCAGTTCCTCCAATGCTCTTGCTTTACTGTCAATTTTCTTTTCGATCGCGTTCACCGGTTCCTCTGGATACAAATAATTACATAAATCATTTCCTCGTTTCGTAAAACTCCTCTTAAGACAGTTCATATTGACAAACCTTTTTTACTTTTAGGTAATGCATTGAGCGGTTGCATGATCGAGTCTATCATTAAAAGGTTCGAATTAGTAATCGAGGGAGTATCTAAATTTTCGGGTTTCCCTAAAGAATTGAAGATATCCCCTAAAACTTCCAAGTCCGTTTGATGATTCGTCGACGCTGTGGAACTTGTATCGATGCCGATATTTTCAAGAGGGACGTCTTCCAACGGCGAGGACAAGTCTAACAAGTAAGGACCAACATTGGAACTTGTCTTAGACTTGACAGGTTCGCCACGAACTATTACAGCATCGTATTTTTCGAACACTTGTTCCAGTTCATCGCTCGCGACGAGTACATCACCTAGAAATTCCAATCACTTCTCTAACAAAAGAATCTAGTTTAAAAATTCCGTAATTAACACACTAAAAGAGTAACGCTCGCGCCATTCGATTCTCCGGAATAATTCAGGTGTCCTAAGATATTTACCAAGCATTTCCTCGTTATCTTGCGTCTCGTTCGCTAGCCTCAATACAATTGGCTTTAATCGTTCGCAAGCTTGATGCAGTTCCTTCATTAGTTCGACATCTTCTTTACTAGTTTCATTGCAATTGTACGAGTCTAACATTTCCGATAACAACTTCGCATTATTGTGAACAGACTCCAGCTCCATTATTCTACGCGAGTTCAACTGCACTCTTCTCTCATCCTGGAAATTCATTCGGTAAACGAACGAAGCTCTTGTTACGAACATAAAAATTACTCACCTCTCTGACCATAGTTTTAATTAATCTGTTCGCGGCTTGTAAATCATCAGGATTTTTACTCTGAAGTAACTTTTGTAACAATTTCGATTTTTCCTCGTCATCGAATATCGTGCTCTTCGCCTTTGGCGTCTTTACACTCTCCTCTTGTATATTATTCATGGGCAAAGGATCGTCCTGAATAAATATATATTTGAAGTCGATGAGGCAAGAGGACGCGAGTTATATACTCACTTCTATGACACCTTGCTTTTTCAACATTTCATAGGCTTCTTTAATCTTTACTTCTTTCGGATATTCCTTTATCCACGTACGAAGCAACTGTAATACTTTTTGACGTACAGTAACCGGTGTTTTGCCACCAAGATATTTCGGTGAAACTATTCGAATGATTTCATTCAAGAACCGAAATTTGCCAACTTCTGCGCGAAAAGACGGCCCGCATCTTCTCATACACGTGTCCAGTAACTTAAAATCCAAAATTCATGTATACGTACAGGAATCATTATTTAAGAACGAATATTGAAATGTGAATTGAATATTGAAATAAACTTACGGTAAGAGCTTGAAGTGCTTCGGTTTCATTAGAGGACTGAATGTGCAATGCTAATAATTTAGTACCAATTTGGATACCTTCCGTTTCTTTGGTAAGCATCACGCAAAACGCTTCGGTCGCTGCTATGTCTGGCTTCTGGTTCTGCGGGTTCGTTACCCTTTCTGTAAAAATAGACAAAAGAAAAATACGGAGGAAGCAGAACTAATCGTAACACCCGATAGCTTTAATAGGTTCAAATTAATTCTTGGCAGTCGTGAATATCTTTCATACGACGACGATTCTGATGAATGTTTACTCACGCATAAGAGCCTCTAGGCTTCTCGTTACAACATCCATTTTTATTATGATTATATGTAATCCCTTGAGTTTACGCGTCGTTGGTTACATGTGTTTATTTGACAGTTAACCCGAGCAAAACATTGAAAGATACCATTTTGATTCTTTTCCCGTAAACAGGAATCGGCTTTCAAACGATATATCTTCACATTTATTCTTCGTGTACTTCGTCTATCTTGGTGTTTCTATTATTGCTACGTCGAGTTTACACTACCGTTTAAAAAAATACCTTCGCATAAAATGTACCGAGCACGGAAACCGCGGATTCGAACAGCTGTTCTCGGATATATTAACCTGTTTCATCGTGGAATTATATTGATAGCTGTTTGAAAACTGGCTTGAGAGGCGCTTCGAGAAATTCACGAAACAATATTGATAAGAATTTTTATTGTTATACTTGTATGCCTACTAAGATAGACAGAGTAAACCGGGAATCTTTATCGTCCTCGCTGAGGATTTCGTATTTTGTCTTTCGAAAATAATTTAGCAATCTATCAGTCATGTACTTAATACGAAAGATGCAATTTTAATCAATTATGCTTATTGTTACAATAAATTTGTAAACAAATTTTTTTTTTTATTATCACATGTAAAGGAAACAATGAATTGAGCTCTATGAGACTCTTTTTATGATTACAAATAAATATGTTCAATGGTATTAATTCAAAGGACTCATATTAAGAATAATGAATCTTAACACATATTGGAAACCTCTTTGCATTTGTTTCTCATCTTCATTTGAAGTTCAAAGCGCCGATTAGTCCTTACGCCCTTCAAAATCGCCCTGTTCTGCTCTGTACTTCTGTTAAAAAATAAAAACGATTGTAGATCTTAAAATGTAAATTTAATTCTGTACGTACCGTCTCGGATTTGGAGTTTTAGTTTTTAGAATGCAGGCAGTGGCTTCTGGTTTTCTTAATTTAAATCCGAATCTTGTAAAGCCATTTTTTGTCCCGCTAGACGATTGATTTACTTTTGGCAATTTATTAGCGACAGTTTTTATCCCTGTCGCATCTCCATTCTCTAAACGAGCTAAAACATAAGTAAATCACAATTAGTATTAAAAAACGTTCAAGCGAATCATTAGTTAATCAAGCTTTAGTACTTAATGCCGTGTGTCTGTCCTGCACGCGTTTCTTTGCATCGATAATAGATTCTGATTTAGCAAACATCTTTTTATGGATCTCAGCAAAATTTGGCATTGTTTTCTTTCCTGAACTCTTTGGATCTGTAATTGAACGAGATCCTATAAAATCTTTCACAATGCTTTCAATAATTCGACGTATTACCTGGTGTTTTAATAGACGGGAATGGCGACGACGCTGTAGCATTAGGAAAAGAACTCGATTTGCGAAGTCGTGAAGAAACAAGCGAATTATTAGCAACAGAGATTTTGCCGTGCATAGAATTGTTTGAACGGGAAATAGCTGTTACTGATTTTGAAATATTTATTCTCGAGTTCTTCGGCGAAATCTTCAGACTATCATTTCGTTTATTTTGTACCGATCGATTACGACTTTTATATTGTAATAAAGGACTTGTAAACTGTACATTGCCTTTCTTCTTTACCATGCTTTGTCTAGCAGTCTTGCCTTTGATATCACACTGTAAAATTTGATTTTTGACGTCTTCCTTTTCGTTCATTGCCTTTCGTAATCTCGGTGTTTTGGGCTCAAGGAGTTCGTAAGTGTCATTCTTTGCTTCTTGCTCGCTCTCTACCGTCAATGTGGCATCGAGTACTTGCTGAGTTTTTGGAGTGGAGGCTACAAGAGCCGATCTTTTACGATTGGATAGCTTCGGCGAATGTATAGAATCAAATATGTCTTGTGTAACGTTTACGTTATGATCAGTCAAAAGTTCGTCGTTTATGAATATTTTTACTTTGGGAGATGGAAGAGATGAGCACTCGGCCATAACAATTTTGGAAAGCCTTTTAAGTCGTACTACGGGTTCTTTTAATTCATGCTTTTTGGGACTCGCCTTTGTACTTAGATTATGTCGTTTACTTGTAGATGCAACGTTTCTATCACCTACATTACTTAGTCTCTTGAGTGGGGATAGACTTTTGTTCTTTTTTGGAGATACCTTTTTGTTATTAACAAGACAACCGTCAATGGATGTCTTTGATATTGGTAACTTAGAACTTCTCAATTTTGATTTTAACGTAGGAGATTTAGGAGACGTTTTCATAGATGGTGAGAGTCTCTTTACCTTACGTTTTCTATTAGTTGGTGTTGACTTGCGTTTTTTAGGTTTTTCCTTTCCACCAGACGAAAACGAATTTGATAGATCATACGTTTCATTCGCATCGTTGTCAGATATACTGGATTTCAACTGTTCACTCTTATTATCCTTAATAATTAGTTTCTCTTGTGATTCTATCGAAGAATTTAGCTCCTTAGTTAGTTTCTTTGAAGCTCTCAATGGTCTTGGAATTTCTGTAGATTTTGAAGAACTCCTCAAGATCTTCTTTCTCTGTGGTGTGACACTGCTTGCAGGTGGAGTAGACGGTGATTTTGAAGGACTTACGTTGTGCTTAGCTCTGCCTGAGCGTAGTTTAGACAACTTCATTTTTCTGTAGTGTTACTTCTACATAAATTAGTACAAAAAGAAAAGATTTTTTTCTTAAACCGTTAATTCCACCAATATTTCATTTATTTGTTCAATAATACAGAATATTCCATTACGCACGTGTTTCACCTACCTGAAAATGTAGCACCTTTCTATCTTTCGAATAGTTATTATTAATACCTGTTATTAATAAAATAAACAGTAATTAAGCTCAAATTAAAACAGAGTAAATGAGATGGCCAGTAATAACGGGCATGTGTGAAACAATTTTACAGATTTTCGATTTCACAGAAAGCGTATATGCACGCGTAAACAGCAAATGACATTGAATCAAGTTCAGTTTGGATAAACACATAGACTATGGGGTAAACATACCTGGACGCGTATTTACGTTCGAGAAATATTTCTGCTAATTCTTCGAGAGGAGATTTATTTTCCGTGGACCCATAAACCGGTAGATCGTCCAAACAGGTAGGGATTAAACGGTGAGAAATCTACGAAAAACTGTGGACTATCGCGGTTTTGGCGGTTGACAGCGTTTTCAACGACATTTGAAATTGTTGACGCAATTGACTGTCGTCCGCATACAATGGAAAGCGATGTTATAGTCGTTGTCGTTCGTTACGTTACACGCCCCCTATAATTTTCAGCGCCTACTCAGACTCAGACTTAGAGCGAAGCAGCCAGCTGAGTCTCATTTTCAGTTTGTTTCCTTTTTTGTACAACATTCCTCTCACGTTATTTTTCAAATTGAACTTTGATGAATGGACGATAACAGAGAAATATGTAAGTGCTTATAATACGATACTGAAATTACGAAGTATCGTATCGTTGATAAAGGACGATTTCTCATTTCGCGAGACCTATTTCACTTTCGGTTTTGTTTTCTGAAGTTCGTTCATTTATTTCAGGTATAAGTATATTATTATTATCGTCTTGCTTGTTGTCGCCAATTTATGGTGCTGCGTGGGAGATGATTATTACGAGATTCTTGGCGTAAGCAGGACGGCCGATTTAAAGGAAATCAGGAGAGCCTTCAAGAAGCTAGCTGTGATAGAACATCCTGATAAAAACAATGTACGTGAGAGTGCAACACTATTATCAAGCTAGTTTCTAACGTAAGTCGAGGATTTTAATTGAGCATATGGAAAACACATACTGTCAATTATTATTTAGAAGTTTTCATTCAAAGATCAAGTAGAATAGTAGCATAAATGTAGGTAATAGATAAAATGGAACTTGGAAAATTGTATAGTCTTAATCACTGTTAAAACGATTGTATGTTGCAGGATAACTCTGAGTCCCATGAGAAATTCATTGTACTGACCAAAGCATATGAAACATTAAAGGATCCAGTTTCAAGAAAAAGATATGATACCTATGGAGAAGAAGGATTAGATGATTCCAATAAAAGGCAGTCCTATCAATCTTGGGGCTATGCTCACAACATTGATCTTTATAACGACAGTCCATGGGTCGTCACTCTTGATGAGGCTGATTACTGTAAACTTCCTATTAAATCTTCTGTTAAAGCATTTATGCAAATACGAATTTATTCATCCTTCTTACAGATGAAAATGTTCTTTTATCAAAAAGAGTATGGCTAGTCAATTTTTATTCTCCGATGTGTAGCCACTGTCACACGCTTGCTCCAACTTGGGAACAAATAGCTGAAGAGCTTGACGGAGCTGTGAATATAGCAGCTGTGAATTGCGAAAATGAATGGCAACTTTGCCATCAGGTTGGAATACGAGCCTATCCTACGATAATGCATTATGCAAAGGTACATCAATTAAACTAACAGATTTTAGACTACAGTTCCGAGATATTATTTCTGTATTACAGAATTCAAGACAGGGAGAGCGGTATAGCGGAGAGAAAAAATATACAGCTCTTATGAAATTTATATTAAATCAATTAAGAATAGTTATTCCAGAAATCGACGAGCCTTTAGTAAATCTTATTTATCACGAGAGCAAGAGAAAGAAGCCTATGTTAATATTCGTCTGCGGCGGAGACCGTCATTGTTTCACATCGCTCGAGCGTTCAAAGATAGCAGCGATCTTTGTAATTATCACTCTTATTTCTCAAACTCATCATTTTATTATTTAGTATGAATATTCGGTGATTTGCTTTAGGAAAATACAATTGACGTACGGATATGTTACTGTGACCGAAAGGAGAAGTGTAAAACTATTTCACAGGACACTAATATTATTTATTTGTCAACCGAGGGAAGCAATTCCTTCAAGAATATAGAGGAATCTGAGGAATTGGTAAACGAGATAATGCAGCATTTACCAGAACCCGACGACCTCAATACTGACGAACTTTTGGTAATTCATATTTATATGAAACATATCCATTATCATTGAAATATATCCATTATCATTCTGAGCAAACATATTAATCGCTGTTTTAATTTATAGAATATTAGGAAGAATTCTGAGAAAGATAAACTAGCTGATTCTAGTTGGCTTTTGTGTTTTTATATCGGATACATAGACGAATTAGATACGATATTGAAAAAACTGCCGCATGTTCTTAGCGAAGTTAAACTCGGTGAGCATACAGATAATAGAAAGCTTAAGTAGATCGCAAACATTGATGGTGAAGTTTATAGGTAAAATAAATTGTGGAAAAGAATCGCGGATCTGTAACAGCTTTGGCGTAAATCGTTATCCAATGTGGGCAATTCTAAAACCAGGAGGTGCCTTCGAATGGCATCACGGGCAAAATGTACTGAACGATATCGTCAAGTTCTTTCACAATAGTCATAAAGCGACGAATGTATGGGCGTTAAACGCGGATGAGATAAAGTCGATAATGAGCGGGATTAAAGGTACGTATCGTTGTAAACGTATGCATAGATTGTTGTATGTATTGAAAATTGTTCTAGATAACGGAGCATGGTTTCTCGATTGGTACGCGCCATGGTGTCCACCTTGTCTGGACTTTTTGAAACAACTTCGCAAAGCGTCGATGGAATTCGATAAATCTGTGATACGTTTTGGAATTATCGATTGCATTGTACACCCTACAATTTGCCAGCAGCATAACATTCGCTCGTATCCGACCGCAATGCTCGTGAACGGTACCGCTGTACACAGGTTTTCGATGGAAAAAACCGCAGAAAATGTTGTTCAGTTCATTAAAGAGATACAAAAACCAACAGTGCTAGAGTTGAACTCTCATAATTTCAAGAGTCACTTGGAGCAAAGGCTAGGTAAATTCATTTGGGTGATCGACTATTTCGCACCATGGTGCGCGCCTTGCCAACGGCTGAAACCACAGTGGATTGCCGTCGCGAATGCTTTATCGATACTTTCTAATATAAAAATAGCTAGTGTGAATTGCGAAATGGAATCCGCTCTGTGTGGAGCTCAAGGAATACGTAGTTACCCTACTATAAGACTGTATCTTAGCGATACGAACGCAGCGAACGTGTTCGCGTAAGTAACCATTTATTAAAACCTGAAACGTGGAAAATATTAAATCTGATGAAAGATGTTTAGTTCGCACAGTGGGCAACGAGATTCGACTTCGATATTAACATGGATCACGCGCTTCCTCCCTCGCAATGTTCGAGACTTAAATCCATCGATATTGAAAACTGAAGTATTAAGTGATAGGAGTATATGGATCGTCGATTTCTATGCTCCGTGGTGTGGGCATTGTCGACTACTCGAACCTCAGTTTGCTATAGTCGCTGAAGTGAGTATATAATACCTAATACATAAGATTCTTTTCTAAAATTAGTTTTATTTCTTCAGCTACTGAGACCGAAGGCAAAATTTGGTTCCTTCAACTGTGAAATGTACGTACGCGAATGTGCCGAGGCCGGAGTCAGGGCATATCCAACTGTGATAGCGTATGACACTCGATACGGTGGAAAAAAGATTACGAATGGTTATCGAATTAATGGGACGACGGCGGAAAGCATGAAAGACAGCATTTTAAACTTCCTAGCGCGCGTTAGGCATGACGAATTATAGCAGTCGCAATCTGATACTTTTCTTTATTTTTTATAATTTACTAGATATCGATATTCGGTTACAGCATAATATAAGCATTTGTACAAAAATTGGTATCTCGCCATCGATCGGCAAACAGGTGTACAGGATGGAATGAGTACACTTGAAGATCTGTATTTACGTGATCGTAAAGTCATTTTTAAAAGTTCGTTATATATTTGCATTATACAAAGTATTGCGTAAAAATATCTTCTTTTATCATTATCAATATCACTTTGCTGTAAAGTACAAAAAATATTGAAAGGGAATATATGTTTCTCTTTAAATTATCACATCGAAAGACGCATTCAACACGGTTGGCAGTGCTAAAAAAAAAAATACAGTGTGCTTTTTCGTAGTGTAATTGCCAAGTTTGTATAATTTATCGAAAAATATACTTAAATATTTCTTTTTTACAAGCCTCATTTCATAATTTAATTTGACGTTCCTTTTAAAAAGACACAGAGAAATATCGTGTTAATTAGACAAGTAAAGCGCGTATAAAATGACTGAATCGTTGTGACATACTTTTCTAATATGTCTCGTAACGTCATATTATGTATATTGCGTATCTTTAGGATACGATAGCCTGCTTTCTTTTCATCGAGTTTTCCACTACGGAATAACTGCCGTGTTTGTTTCTAGATTAGCGTGTTAAATAAATATAGTTCCTACTTCATCGAACTCGTGAGTATGTAGGCACGTGCTCTTCTTTTTATAACGAGGAAGAATGAAAATATTTGACATATATAAAATCTCTGAAGTTTCTTATGAAACGATAACAATTATATTCGAACCGAGAATTACATTGCTCACACATGTACATACATATATACATAGGTATACACACAGATATATGTATATACGTGATATACACATTTGTATAAAATTATTAATTAATTACATAATTTCGTTATACTCTGTGTTTATGATGTTCGTAGTTTATTGAAAATATTAATGGAAACATAGACAGCGTAATAATTTAACTAGTGTAATTAATATCATACCATCGATGAAAAAGATAAAATACTTCCAGGATAGAAAACTATAGTTTGAAAACGCGATATAAAATCTGTCCGCGTATCTCAAATTCTTTCCGATATTTAAAATATACATCAATCGATACGTTCGGATTGCACTATTTGCAAATTAATAAATACAGTGGATCTATAATGTGCGCATGAAACGTGCGAAACGTATCGGTGAATAAACGGGTGTATAAGATTGAAACTAAATTATATATCGCGTTTCGATGGTGGTACCAAATGATCAGGTAATTTCGAAGGTAAATCGTAACCCTCAAGTTTTACCTTAATTAAATGCATCGCCAAGGCAAATTCATCTGCGTCCAGGAATCCATCGTTGTCGATATCCGATAGCTTCCAAATTCTCCCAAGTACATTGTTCGGCAATTTCGATCTTATCATTTCCGACTTGGCCGCTGTAAATCGAACGAAAACCGTTAATAGTATTTGGTAGCAAAGCGTAATCGTTAATGATAGATAGAAACTTACCAGCCCCGGTGATTTTTCCGTCGCAAGGGCCAAGCGTCTCGAATATCGTATCATATTTATATCTTTCCTTGTTGACGATCCATTCTGGTTCGCCTGCACCAGCATCGATGCCTTCCCCTCGTTTATATCCGAACGGACTTACTTGATCTTCAACGCCTTCAAATGCACCACCTAGTTTTTGCAAAATAAGCGTTTATGAATCATCATTACGTCATATCGATATATAGAAGTATAAAGATTCTCAGTCTTCATTTTTATCTTTATGAAGACATTAATACAGAAATAAAAATATATAGAAAACAGATACCTTTGACAAGCGACTCTAATGTTGTGTTAACTTCTTCATTAGGAATCATGGCCATGAGTTTCGCGATGTCTTTTTGTAGCATATTATCCACCACTTCTAATAGTTTAGGCTTGAGGGTATTGAATTTACTGAAGTCATGGTGAGCGAGCGATTCTTGCATTTTTTTAAGGTCTGGGAAATCGCCGGGCGAGATCTGTTGCTCCCTTTGTATTTGATCATAAATTTGTCCCAAATGTTTGATAAGATCTTTCTTCTTGTTGTCTTTACCGAACACGCTGGGCATATCTTTCCTCAAAGCGCTGATTATATAAGCGTGTACCTATGAACACGCGATTAAGTTTTATCAATTGAAAGTAGCCGATATGGATAGATTATCAGAAATTGCGGTAATCAACGGTACGCGTTTTTTATGTTTCCTTACCTTTGCTAATCGTGCGCGTTTAATCAAGTCATTGAGTTTCCTGAGCGCCGCATTTCTAGGTAGCGATTGCATGTCCTTAAATAAATCTTGTTCTTCGTCTTCGAATAGTCTGTAACAGAAACCAATTTAATTTGGATGCGTATGCTTAATAATACACGATGAACATCGCAGATACCTGAAGTCAATTTACCTTTTATTTACATCGTATCTTAAAGGTTGATCCCAGAACGAGCCGATATAAACTCTAGCGACTTCAGGCGTCTGTAAAACTTTTCCTAGAGACCACATCAGTGCTCCGTACACTCTCATAAGTTGTTGATGATCGATCATGTCTGCCTTATTTAGAACAATTCGAATTTTATCATCGTGTCCTCGCAATGCTTCGATTAATCTTCGAAATTCGTCAGAAATATCAAGCTTGTGTGCATCGAATAGCAGTATAATTCTGTCTACCCGTTCAGCGAACCATTCCATAACACCAGTGAAATCATAGCCTCTGTCAACCTAATGTAAAACAAATGTTAACACAGGAATTCTATCTAAATCCATAAGAGAAGTTTACGAATATACGTACTCTTTGTTTCTCGCCTGACAATATACCGGGTGTATCAACTATGGATATTCCTTTTAGAACAGGAGATGCAAGGGTGGAGCATTGAAATCTATTAAGGAAAGCATTGCCAAATTTTGAAAGAGGACGAAACTGTTTGTCCGGGTCGACCACTAAAGCGTTTCCAGGGACGACACCCTCTTTCTCATTATACATAACTGCAATAAAGCGATCTGTCGTTGGTTCCGGGCCGATTCTTATTCCGGGAAAATCTCGTTCTAGCAAATACTTGATGAACGTGGTTTTCCCCGTAGAATATTGGCCCACCAAAAGGATCATGGGCTTCGCGTCGAAGTCTGGATCATCGAGCTGCGGCGAGTGGAAATCGTGAAAGTGATAATGCTGCTCGAGCGGCAGCAATTTCGCTTTGTATATCTTTTTGAGGCCATCGGCGACACTATCAAAAAGATCCTGTTTGCCGCCCTCCTCCCGATTAAGCCAGCTGAACATTTTGCCGAGTTAAAGTACGATTCTGCGAATGAAAAAACGTCAAGTGTAGAATTTGCTGCGAGTAGAACTGCTGCTCTTCATGCTTCGAGTGCAGTTCACAGGTTTGACGCAACAATTAACAGACTCTAATATGACGTGTAGGAAATTCTGCTGAGCTGCGTGTCAATTACGAAGCGTGCATTTTTTCAGAGACAGAACAGATCTGAATGCAAATGGATAACTGATTACGAGAACGGTGAAAAAAAAGTGAAGTAAAAAATGAGAGTGTGAGATAGAGTGAAAGGGAAAGTAGAGTGATTTAGAATGAAATATATAAATCTAACCTTTTGGCCGGAACCCAGGCACACGAGTAGAGTGACAAGCGTGATCAGACACTAAGTATCATAGAATCGACGATGGGAGTAATTCGTCGGTATAACGTTGAGACACTATTCGACGCGCGAAGCTTCAGAAGAGGAATTGACTGATGTCTGACAGCTTATTTCTATTATTCGAGGGCATTTGAATCAATAAACGAGAATCGTAGTTTAAACACGTCAATCACAAGGGAACAACAGGCCCAGGCGCGGTACCCGACGTATGACCACGTCGCGAGGAAACAAGGAAACCAACACCGATACGACTGCGCATCCCGTCGCCGCTGTAGTCGTTCCTTCCTCCACTTGCTTCATTTACCATCCCTTCCTTCTCGACTACTATATTCTTATCTTTTTACTCTGCTTGCCTCTATGTATAAGTGTATAGACGACGAAGATAATTTTAGCAGAGAGAATACTACCATTAAGCAGCTGGCCAATCAGAATGGATTAGACTGCATTGAACTGCACGTGTGTAAGAGAACAGCCAGAACGTTATTACTGTGTCTATACATATGTACTCTGATTTGAACTACATTTAGGACTTTCGTCCTTTGACTTCTGAAAATATTTGCCATTGCTCGTGTTTTGTCTCGTAAACGTCGTACAAACACCTCCGATAGTTTAGTAGTGATATCTAATTAATTCGTTTAGTGTATCCGGCCTGAATAGTTTAGATTAAAGTGATAGTCCAAGAATTGGAGGGAAATTGTGAATGCAAATAATAAATGAACGCACAAGCATTGGATCCAGCAGCGGTTTTGATGTAAGGTAAAAAAGTTTGTCCTCGTAACAAAAAGATTAAATTATTTTAGCAATCGACTGATTAAGCACATTTCGAGTAGAATATATATCTCGCAGAGGCGTCAATTAACGTGCGCGAAACTCGATAGCACGATAATAGAGTTTTCTGAGTATTCCGTTTTACGGAATTAGTACATAAGCCACGTTCCTTTTACTTAGATGATTCATATGTACAGATACAGGTTTCTATCGAGAGTTTATATGTATTTAGGTAACTTTATCTCGAAACGGACCGTTGTTACGCATCACCATTAGCCGAGGTCGATCATATTCCACATTTAATCTATTTGTAATGAAACAAAATAATTGTATACGGCGGGGGATAAAACACTGTCAAACATTTAAATTGAAAATGTCAACGACTGGACTTTTGAACGATACGTACAGACGGATTTCACAGGGTATCATAGGAAACTAGTTTATTTACAAATTATTATAGATATGTAAGTAGAAAAGTTAAAAATTTATACATTTGTATGATCGATGAGACGTTTGAGTCGAGATCGAGGGTCGCGTGCTCTTTTATTCGAGGTATTAGAAGTCAACGGAAAGAGTGCTCGGAATAATCGTTCCCGTATTGCATAACGAGACATGCAAAACATCCAGTGTCACTTATTGCGTAAGCAACGCGGACACATCCTGGTTAAACGATTTTGTGCTCAATTTAGTAATCCTAACCAGCTTCGCTGGAATTAGAATTGATTTGTGCGCTACGGCGCACTCGGTCTCGGTCGCGTACGCTCGGATATGAGAATTGAGGCTTCTAGTTCAAATATCACATGCGAAATTAAGAGAAGGAGGCGCCGGATAGGGATCGCGAAAGGAAATATATTAATCGACTCGACATTCGTCGTCCCAATTATCGGGGAGCACGTTTTCCCACAGTTTCATTAGATTTCTGAGTAAACAGGGCGTGCCACATTTCGGTATGTTCATGTGATAAGGTATCATCGTCCTCGTGTCATTCACATACATTAGCTGTAAACGTAAAAAAATAACAAGAAAAATAACATCGAGTTAACTAACTTTTTACGTTAAGACGGGATACCTTCAGCTCCGCGTCTTCCGCGAGATTCGATTCAACGTGCAGCTGGAAAATAAGCGTAGCACTATATTCGGGCTTAAAGAATTGATTGGTAAAGCCCATGGTTCTTAACAAATTAACCATGGTTATATCGTGGACGGCATAGAGATATGCTCGACGTGCATCTTTCCCGTTCGTGAAAGCATGCATAGACTCCATTATCGTCTTAAGGAGCGGTCCTGAAAGGAATTTAAATAGAAAATAATCATTTTAAACGTGTGCGGAGAGAATACCTCCGCGAAGTCGTTTCTGTAAATCGTTGCTCGTGAATATGGCTAAACTGCGAGCTGCGATCTCGCGCATTTTATTATTATAATAGTCTTTTGTCCACGCTGGCAATTTTAGCCCGTGACGTTCTTCGATTTCCAAAGTATTATATAAAAACTCGACGTCGGTAATCGTTTTAATTTTTTTCCCTGTGTAGTTAGTGAGTTGTTGGTAATACTCGTTTGACGGTGTTCCTGGACGCGTAGATTCGTTCACGTACGCTTCCTGCAGAGCTTGTTCTAATCGGGGACAGGGAGCTTTGACCACGATCGTCTGGAAATAAACGTTTCTAGGCAATTGACTCTTAAACACGTATTGATATTAGAAACGATTCGTACTTTGTCCAGATTCCTAGGGGTAGAATGAACGGGAATCGGCTGCCAGGCTAAACCTGGCACAAACATTTCCTCAGGCGCCGGTGGATATAGACCAGCCAGCAAAGCTTGTGCAGACATTATACATCGATCAGCGTAACTGCTTTGCGTTAACAGTAAATCTTTATCATACTTATTGCCAAGTGTCGAAACATAGTTATCTCTTATCCATTTTCCAACGTTGTACGCTCGCAGCATACCTGCCTATATCGTAATTCTCTATTGAACGAGATTGCAATTTTATTAGAAAACAAATTACCTTGGTCAAAGCGCCCCAGCCATTTTCCCATTTGTAATCTCGATATGGATCCTTCGGATATGTTTCCGTGGGAGTTCGATCTCCGTGTCGGAAGACCTGTTGAATCGTCTGATTACTCGGCGCAAAGCAAACATGCATGTTCATCATAGATAAACCGGATAACACTTACGAATATCACCTGTTGTACAGAGGTTTCGTTGTGCGGCCTCGCATCGATCGTGGATACAAACGCAGCGTATGCAAATAAAATAGTACCGATTCCGATAGCGAGCATCAGAACTGTTATGTGAATGCTTGGGTTACGTGATGCTCGAGAATTGTGGCTTGATCTCCGTTCGTTCTCTCGATACATTCTCCGCTCCACCTTATCAGAAAATGTGGATCAGGGTTCTTTTTTAAATAGCAGGATTATCGTGTGACACTAGGCGAATGATTTATTAGTCGATGAACACTTTCACACATCGCTTGTACTTAACATCGTCGCTTTTATCAACGCTTTTAATACGTTACGCGTAATGCGAGTACTTGTGTCTTCTGTACGGTTACACTCTCGAAGATGTGCATGCACGTGCTAAATAGCTAAAGGAAGAAAACGGCATTGTGGAAAAGTCTAAGGTAAAAGAGAGAAGGGAATAGATTAACAGGTCGCTATTACGTAGATGAGAAGTTAATGCTTCTGTTTATTCAGACTAGAAGATAACAGATCGCACGTATACGACGGTAAAATAATTATCGTGTTACAGTCGCAGTCATTCTAAATATTTGACGCAAGATCACGCTCGTATCGCAGCTTTTTAACTGCAGTATTAAAGTTAGTAGTAAAGCAGGCGCCATGAAGAGTTATTTGTTTGCAGTACGCGTGAAATACGTACAGTATATTGATATGAAACTAAAAAGAAATTACAAATTACAAATCGTGTTACTTGAACTTAATTAGGTTCTATATATACTGAAAATTAAATTCTTGAGCTTCTATATCTTAATTTCCAGCAATTATTTGCGTGACATTTGTTCTAATTGCCTGTAATCATCCTGTGAGCAGACGTATTTTCTATTTGTCTCGATACTATATGAGTATCTTTTCATTGTATTAAGTTACATTTCGTATCTTATCATTACATATTTTCTTTAGAAACTCGTAACTAGTATTCGCGTACTCGTTCTTGAACGATCATAGAGTCATGAACAAGAATCTTAAGATATACGAATTTGGTATATTATTTCCTAGTTCATAATCTGTAAATCATGAAATGGACATAATTCTAATCATTTGTTATAGGTTTGTTGCATAATATTACTTATTTTCGATTTAATCTTTTTGACTTTAATTGAAATTGAATTTGAAATCGCGCGCGCTAGTGGCGCAGGAGTGACGTGCGCCGTAGCTTCCCGCGTATTTCCCAGTGCAGTGCAATCGTGGTAATGGCGTCGTTTAGTGTGCGCGTATTAAATTCGCATTTTTAACGTAATTATAATGTGTTATCGTGGCTATACTATCGAAAATCTTGAAAAAGAAGGCACTGCAATCAGGTTTTGACAATTCCCGACATGAGACAACATGTACAATCAGTGAAATGTAAGTTGAAACATGTCCTACTTCAGATTCGCGATGCGCCTGCGACAGACTGTTACTTCCCGAATAATTTTACCTTTTAATATTAAGAAATCTCTTGCTTTCTGTTGCTTTTAATCACGATTTGTGACTAAAAATCCAGAAAGTATGATACATCCTGTTAATTTTGTGTATGACGATAACAAGTGTCCAATATTTCATGTGTACGGAAAGCGAAAGTGGCTGTATATCAGAGTTCTGCATAGGACGGAAAAAGGGGCCGATCTCCTCGCAGCCCGGGCTAGCCGCAGTTTGCGATAAGGCGAACATGATACCTTTCTGCCTGGAGCCCGTCACACTGCGGAGCGCCTGTAACACCGCGGCGCGGCCTGTAACATCATGAGAAACTGCGGCTGCTGCGAGGCAGTGGGAGCCGAATGCGAGCATCGCCGCTATACTGCGTTCGCGATTACGTACATCTTCGCTGCTGAGTATCGAACGCTAAGCGGCCGCTCCTCATTCCATTTCTTCCATTCATTCTATTTTTTACTTATATATATTAATTATGTAACTATTGCACGATTTCAACTATTAAATGCATGGGAAAGTATGACATATTTATTTTAGTATGACATATGCAGGAAATTAGATGAAAGGAAATGTAATAAGGAAAATGAAGTATTATAAATGTAATTTCATACTTCATATACGAGTCTATTTATGTTATATATGTTTTGAACACTATACATACGTATATACACTATTTACAATACTTACAGTATATACAATATTTACAATATTTATGTACATTTTATTTAATACCATTATACATATTACAATACATAAAATTATAGATTTCGTTTAATGCAAAAGTATTTTAGATTAATTGCTGGAATTAACATAACGCTTCTAAAGCCCTTCACGTTTTGAATTTTTTATGTACATAAATATGGATTTAATCTTTTTGACTTTAATTGAAATTGAATTTGAAATCGCGCGCGCTAGTGGCGCAGGAGTGACGTGCGCCGTAGCTTCCCGCGTATTTCCCAGTGCAGTGCAATCGTGGTAATGGCGTCGTTTAGTGTGCGCGTATTAAATTCGCATTTTTAACGTAATTATAATGTGTTATCGTGGCTATACTATCGAAAATCTTGAAAAAGAAGGCACTGCAATCAGGTTTTGACAATTCCCGACATGAGACAACATGTACAATCAGTGAAATGTAAGTTGAAACATGTCCTACTTCAGATTCGCGATGCGCCTGCGACAGACTGTTACTTCCCGAATAATTTTACCTTTTAATATTAAGAAATCTCTTGCTTTCTGTTGCTTTTAATCACGATTTGTGACTAAAAATCCAGAAAGTATGATACATCCTGTTAATTTTGTGTATGACGATAACAAGTGTCCAATATTTCATGTGTACGGAAAGCGAAAGTGGCTGTATAGTGTATATCACTGGTCTAATTATAGTAAGTATACTTTAATTTAACTGTTCTCCTTTTTAATTTTAAAAAATGTACTCGTAAAATATTCTTTTGCGTTGAGTCACGATTGAAAGGTAAGAATCACGAATGTGTGATATGATGTTTAAACTGGCTCTGCCAGTGTTGAGTCTAACATTAATGTTAACCATTTTTATTCTCTATGACAAATTTGTATTGTCATCTCCAGCATAACGTACCAGTGCAAAGATTAATGTATTTCTTCTATTGCTTTGCGATCGAAAGTCAAACACATTGCAAATTGCTAACTACAGTAGGTTTCATTAAAATTGAATACGTCGGTTAGCTTAGAAGGGGGTGAATGGGATGTGGATAGGGTAGGTTTCGTGTAGCAGCCTCTGATATTTGGCCAACATGTATTATTTGACTAATTGTATATGTATATATACAATTATCTATTATATCGCAAGTAGCATTTAGCGAATGGCTACGTAGGAGTCGTAATTCTTAAATGATAGTAATCTCTAGACTTATATCGTACCTAATAATAACCTGTGAAATGATACATTCAATTGTTCATCAATAAGACTAATGCCGACCCTTTCCTAACATTTAACTACAGTAGCTCTGGTTACGATTGGTCTTAGGAGTAAGTAATTGCAAGTTCCTATCTAGCAGCAGTAAGATCTAACGCCGGTTAATTGAAGTAAATAGACAACGTTTATTTGCAATGATTCGAAGGTATTGTTTACACGGTTAGAGCATACATACACATAGAGAGATATACAAGTTTGCCTTTCAATTAACGGAAGCGATTAGTTTAGCATTCGCTCGTTCGCTTTACGGGTGGGACAGGGATGAATGGTAGTGAAGGTAAAAACAAAGACCTGTGCCCCGTATGTATTTGTGTATTTTCGTTAGTTTGCGTACACCCATTCGAAAACTCAATAGGCGAAAGCTAATTAGGAACTAAACAATCGATAATAGTTGTCTTGCCTTTAACAGTTGCAATTAACGATTCGATGAGGAACGTTTCATAGAAGTGAATCACAGTTTCCTTAAATGCAGAAATTTATTAATTCAGCAAGTTGCGTGGATTCAAAGTTATCAGATTGTGTCGTTTGAACCGGAGGGAAAATAATGGATAAAGTCATGGTCGTAATGAATGAATTCGTTCGTTTCGATTCGATGAGACTTACATGTATTGTCGATCGTAGTACCATTTTCGTGACTTGTTCGTTTATGTGCGAACACGTGTTCGTACGGACATACATATTTAATTTCCTACATTAATGACTAGAATACACGATAACAATATTATTAATTTCTATACAAAATACAAACACCATTTCGCTAAGAACGTTTGATAAATAACAGGACTAGATTACGTTTCACAAACAGAAGTGAACTGAACAGAGGGAAATACGCTGTCCTTGATCGCAAACATATTTGAAATCTGAATTATCATAGAATGTAGTTGCATTAAAGCTAACAAGCAGGATCGTTTGCAATCTCGAACGGGATAGAGACACTCATACATACATACTAATACATACATACGAACGAACGAACGCGTGTTAAGTAAACATTTATTATGAAGACCTCGCATAAGGTTGAAATGCGATCGATCCCGTGCGTCTTTTAATCTAGGGCTGTTCGGAACGGCGTCGTCGGCCAGGTCCTCCGGCATAATTCGCTGCAGCTAATCCCATTAAATGCTTTGCGGCCTGCGAAGCGCTGAACCCGCGGTTCAGGCCCAGATCCAGTCCTCGTTTGTTGCTATCGAAATAACTTATTAACCCACGTGGTAGATCCTCGATATCTGGACTGCGGATTCCCATGCAACATACATCATTTATGGTATGAATTAAAAGAAATGTTTCTCATATTTTCTTTTATCATACAGACTTGATATTTTTCTACGAATGCATGTAATATCCGCAGTCTAGTGAGAACTATGTGTCTGAGTATGTATTTACTTTTCAAGCTCTGAGTTACGCATATGACCGAGCCGAGTGAGAATTTCCATTAATGCCTCAGGATCCTCGTCGAATTGACTCCAGTAGCCCTGCTGCCTGTAAAACAGAATTAATCGTACCTCCTACTTTCGAGGAGACTGAGGAATTTTCGTTAAATACAGTATTCATTCGATAAATGAGAACAAATCCTACTCAAATAAAAAATTAATTATTATACAAGTAAATATGATTGAAATTATATCATATTTAGTGTCATTTGCATCAGAAAAATCTGACGAATATGATACAACATGATTGAAAGGGAATCGAATGCAAAAACATTTCGTAGTTGCATTATAATTGTAATTTGATACACAGGTTTTTATCCCTGTCCCTTTCTAGGCTCGAGGCTTTCGGCAGAACATAACATCAATATGAGAATGTATGTTAGGGTTCACCTATCCCCTAACGAGGATCGGATTCGAGAAACGGGTTTAAATAAACTGGACACGTGTTTATAAGCAAAGCAGCCCGTATGTACTTATGTATAAGCGAGACATTTCGGTCCCGTCGGCTTCTCATTTATCCAAGAGAATACTGTAACTATTTAATCGTTCTCAGGCGTTGTTATTTTGTAAAGTAAATCAGGCTCGAAATTGATTAACGCGGCGGTTGAGAAACGTTTCCATCGGGCTTAGCTTCAGCCGTGAACGGTTCTCGATGAAATTAGTCGAACGATCCGCTGGTAGTTCATTTTAACGAGTCGCTATCGAATTTATAACTTTTCCATTCCGCGGTACTGTGGTAGTAAAACGAAGAGCCGTAACAATGCCAGCTTCTCTGTACTTTTAAATACACGTCCGTTACTCTCATTAAACGTGGTGGTAGCTCATCGAATAGAACTGGGTTAAACTTTACTGACGTTACCAGATGCGTCTTCGCGTTCACTTTATATGCACACGTATCTCTCTTTTTACAATGCGTCTGTAGAAGTTCTTTCTATTTTACATCGTCTTTTCTCAGATTACACTCACGGAGACGATTGAGAATGTATGGATGATTTAACGGATGAAGCGTAATAGATCTACGGGGGATGAATTAAGTAGGAACTATGATCGACTCACGGTGCGGCGTTCGTCGAGAGGATCAGACCGAAAACGATCAGCAGTGCGTAGAGCGACAGCATCCTCTGCTGCATCTTTCTAAGCCTGGAATAAAACCCGATACGATTCTCGTTGCATTACATGTTTTATTATGCTTAAAAATAACATGGGTTGTAAAATATTTGTGGAGGTAAAAACTGGGGAAAGGAGGAAGCTAGTCGAGTAGCTCTCGTGCGATCTATCTTTCATTGTCAGGGAGAATGCCGGCGTGTTCGACTAACAAACTATTCAGGGTGCAGAAAGACGTGGCCAACTTTTCGAGTGTCCCTATTCAGCATAGAAGCAGAATCGTGAAACGTGCTAATAACCCGTTTTCTGTGATTGCGATTTATTAATTACGATCGGTCGAAGGTTAAATTTCGTTTTCATGGGGAACGTCCCCGAGTCTGTTTGAATTGTAGCCACACGGTTTCCGATTCCTCTCGATGTTCGTGTTCAATTAGTATTTTATTGGGAGGCAATCACGAGCCGCTTTGAGCGTGTCGAACGACCGTAACGCGGGATGATTGGATTCACCGCTTCCGATAATTGATGTTGACGATACGTTTCACGCGTGTCTCACTTAGATTCGTTAAGAACAATTCTGTCGGACGAAATTCCTGTTTCACGCGCGGTAAAACGTATTCGGACGTTGGTCGATTGAAAATTAGGAACTGATTGAAGTGCGCGCGTGCACGTGTGTGTCCTGAGATAAAGAAAAGGAGGACGTAAGACGAGGTGAATATTGGAAGGGTTATTGGAAATTTATAGTACGCCCGACCGCGCGGAAACTTCATCTCGAGCCCATGGCAACCATTTCCATCTCTTCCGTTCCTCGTTTTCCGTCATCCATTTCATTACCGTTACTTCCGCGTTTCCGTTCAGCTCGAAATAATCACGGCAGGCTGCTCCGGGTCCTTCTATTTATTTTACGTTTCACCTGGACTTTCAAGCCAAAAACTGTCGCGCTCCCCGAAACAAACGCCGCGGCAACAAGTGAAATTGTTTGTCCCCGGTTAATCACGTCGCAGAATACATAAATGCAATGGACGTGTCGCGAATTACCCGTACCAAGTAGCTAGATTTCATATTTTCCCTGTATTTATTTTACACGCGTTTCTCTGAACCTGTCACCAACGATTTTCATGCAAAACGAGAGAGCTCTCGCGACGTCAATTTGACGAATGAAATTGAAATTTATATTTCGCGTACGTGTAACGCATATTCTTATACGTCCTCCGTATCGTCGATCAAATTTTTTTTACGAACGCGCCGGTCTGCCGTTTGTATTCTCTTTTTTATTGTTTGCGTTTAATCTGCATCTCGTGAATTTAAAAAAAGAAAAAACAACATTGTCGATACCGCACGCGTTCCAGCAGAACTATTGGTAATTTATTCCTCCGTGAAACGCGATGCATGCATGAGCCGCGAAAGCCAATCAATGACAAAACGAATTAAATTCGAGTAGGCGCTCGTTAAGCCACGCGTCGGGATTCTGTATTCTCGTATTGAGTAAATTGCTCCAAACCGGGTTAATAAGAATCGTGATGGAGACTATCAATTATTAAAACACGAGAATGTATCGAACGAGTTTTATCACGTATTGGTGAGGTGCACGAAACGTTTCATATTATCTTCTACGTGGAGCCGTTCTTGATTGACTGGAGTACCCAGGATCAATTTTGATAGAGTCTAACAATAATTAAAATACAAGAATGTATCGAATGAGTTTCATCTCACATAAAGTTCACGCGACGGACTTATTAATGAATCCAAGAGACGTACCAAGTATTCTATATCACTGGTTATATCGATCTCGTACGACAAAAGTTCCTCTTTGATTATGAACGTGAAGTCGAGTCGTAAAGCGTATAATAACTGGGATATAAAAACTGAGCGAGGGGTCTGGCAAAGGTGAAACCGTCGACACTTACCTCTGAGGTCTAGGGTGGCAAGCTCGGCGGTGGTTGTTCACCAACAAACTTTCTCGCAGAACGTGCGTGTTTCTTCGACAACGAATAGCACCGCTCTGCGAATACGAATCTCCGGTTGACGGTTTATATAAGCCCGCGAGTTTACGGCACTTGTTTCATCCCCATTTCCACCCCTATCCCCCACTCTGTAATACATCTAAACAGCCTCGACCAATCAAACGTACCCGTGTTCTACCCCGTCCGAGCTTCCTACCCTCGTACCGGTAACCACCAACGAGCGTGACGCCAACTCCACCGCACGCGCTATCATCCTCGATTCCACTCTTTACCCCGTTTTCCATATTTTTCGACGTACTCTTCTCTTTTCCGTATTACCCAAGAAAGGATAGAAAAGTCGTGGTACGCGCGTGTAACAAATAGGTTTCTCATATAATCGAGGAATTCAATGATCAGCCATGTGCATTTTTATTATTTAATTCACTAAAACGTGCTGATTAGATTTCCCTTCTGAACAGTCGGGCAATTCAATGGTTCAAAAACGAGAGTACAGTCGATAAAGCAAAACTGTGCTGATTATATTTTTTGTGAAAGGGCAAGGGAAATACTGGCTACTACTCGTTAGTCACGTTTGATCCATCTTTTAGCAACTTTTCAAACAGACACGAGTGGCTGGAGTTGCGGCCATTAAGCTTACCGTCTTACCACCGCTGTTTTTATACCCTCCTTTCTGAGTTACACAACGATCGGTTTACGGTTTTAAGAAATACGGGTTAGGTCAGTTCAGAAGCAGATTTATAGTATTAGATTTTGCTATCAGCATTCAACCGCTACTCAGCTATTGATATATAAGTAATAGGAAATAAAAAAGTGTAGAGATAATTTTAATTTATTCAAATACATAGCGCGTCTCAGCTTTTCAGTAATTGTAGTTTTTATTAGTTTGTTAAATATGGCCTGAGACAGAAATAGAATATGAAATAACACACGGTTGACCCTTGGAATTTACTAAAATTATGTATCTTTTTAATTACGATTTCGTTGAATTGGTTTGTCTTGTTCTTGGCCATTATCGGACCGGCTCGAGTTCTTAATTGTAATGTACATAAAGAGTATAGTAGGGCAAATAGCTGGACCCTGGGCACTTCGGGTTCCGGTTGATAATGGGACGAGTAGTTGGGTCGTTGGATGAAATTGATGGAAAAGCGGTGCGCCTCGAGTAGAATCGTACGGTTGCCGTTTATCGTGGCGCCTATCACCGATCCCTTCGCTGGGCGCCGTCTCTTATTGTCGCTCGACATGCAAATCACCTAGTAGCCCATTTTCATAATGCCCCTGAAACGATGCTGGTCGCTAGACAAATGACCGTCGCGCGGGCGTAACGCGTTTTATAAAAACGGTGCCGCGCGTGTGACTCACGAAATGTATTCGAACATTCGTCATACTTTATGGATATGCGTACCATGCATTATTCATATTTTTTGAAATTTCATTAGCGCCGCAAGAATTATAGCTATCATGACGACGAATCAAAACTTGTTCTACGTTCGAGCGACGGTGAAAGAACCAAGCTGAAGAGGGTAAAAACAGCCTTCTAATCGTTTCCGATCGTGTAAATCAGTTTAGGGCGCGGGCAGACTCGTTATCGTTTTTCCTCGTTGGAAAACTGCACGATTCATCGATTATCAATTTGTTCGTCGGCTAGTAGTAAGGCAGATTCGAGGAAAGTAAAGAGTAAATAAAACGATTATCAAACGCTGCGCTATTCGAGCGAATTAGATCCAGAGGAAAAATAGGAAAACGCGCAAGATCCTTTTCTGACGAAACAAGATAGCGCGGTTTTATCGGTTTCCCCTCATCGCTTGTTTCCTCTCTGTTAAACTTCGTTAAGGATAACGCGGTAATGTAAGATGGAATAAACGTGCAAACATTAATTATTTTCATTCGATTTTTCTTCGCTTTTCTCTCCCCGTTGACCATTGTCCTTTCTTATCGAACCGGCTCGGGTTCGTTCACGAGCGTGAGCCCAGCGTTACCGTTAAAACGGAATAAGTCTCTCGGTTTTACGAGATATTTGTTGAGACATAAACTAGAAATCAATCCGATATGGTCAACGTACTTTGCGTGATTTATTTAAACGGATTCGAAACGATTGGTACTTTCACGATCCTCCAAAGTGGTATGGAACGATCGGATTATTTTGTAAAATGGTTTTGACTGATTTCTTTCATACGTCTGTCGCACGTATAGCATCGGTGACTAAAGTAATATGAAGTTTCCTATTAGAAAATCCTGAATGATCGCATTACGTTTTAAGGATATATTGGCTATACAATCAATCCCAAAAGTTTATGCACTTTAGAAACGCATTTTTTAAAAAGAAATCAGACGTCGGAAGAACAATGCATATAATAAACAACAACAAAAAATTTTCGATTTTTCCGAGATTTTTCCAAGGGGTACCCCTCCCCATTTCTTCCAAATTTTCGTTTTTGGCCAATAACTCTCAAACCGTTGGACATACGGAAAAATTGCACATGACCTTTCTTGTAGAGGACGACGAGATCTACAATTTATATA